GTTTGATCGTATTGGCTGGAAGTTGCAGTGACATGGGGCGCAGCAGCTCGTGGAAAACGTGGCTATCTTATTGGAAATTCCGTTCGTCACATTAGTAGCTCCTCTTACAGTAGCTCTTAGTAGCTCTTCAGAAGCTCGCTGTCAATCACATTAGTAGCTCTTTTTATGACTTATTATTCATGCTAGCGGGCCCTGCTGTTACAATATGCTACTGCTGTCGCAGAGGCTGTGGCCTCTTGAATGGGCTGCTGTCATTAGTGCGCAATCTCAGGTCGAGATGGGCAGGTATTGATCTCGTGAACCTGCCGGAGCTAGATGACAACGCCCCGACGGCAACGTTTGGGCGGCAACCGGATGCAGCCTTGTGACCACAGGCCAATGGACCCGTGTTGGATCTGACCTTGCCATCAGCATGCATCCGACTTCAGGTCGCCATGATATTTAGAGGTCGAAGAACGCTTCAGAAACAAATATGCGCCAATATTAGTGGACAGGTTTCTGGCGCCACCATCGGCCAGAGAGCCAAGAAGCTCAAAGAAGGAATTGGGTGTGCAGACGCTCCAGCGCCCCACAGGTTGGGCGGCCGGGGCATCCTCGCACCGAGCTCCTTGGCCAACTAAATGGCGACGTACACTTTTCTCCAAGGGAGTGGTTTCTCCGTAACCACCGCAAGGGGGGGCGATTGAGTGATTGTGGGGGGGCCTCGGCAGGCGGTGAATATGGATATATTCGGACCCTGGGGCCCTGGGGGGCGCACGTCCATATATATATATATATACACACACACATCCACCGTGGATCGAGGTCCCGCAGATGAAAGAGCGCGTGCTGCGGTCGCTGGGGGAGGTGGGGGGGGGGCGGGCCCCCCCCCCGCCCATTTCCCCTATTTCTCCTCCCTCTCCTCGGGCAAGCGCCGGCGTCGGCGGCGGCTGGCGGTGGCGGTTGGGGGGTACTGGTGGTGGTAGTGGCGGTGGTGGTGGTAGTGAGATGGTCTGTGGTGGTAGTGGTCGTGGTGGTGAGTTGTGCAGCTGGTAGTAGTGGTGGTGGTTGTGGCGGTGGTGGTTGTGGTGTGGTAGATTGTGGTGGAAGTGGTGGTAGTTGTGGTGGGTTGTTGTATTGGTGGTGGTGGTGGTGGTGGTGAGCTGTTGTGGTAGTGGTGGAGGTGGTGGCTGCGGTGGTGGTGGTTGCGTGGTGGTTTGGTGGTGGTGGTGGGTTTAGGTGGTGTTGGCGGTGGTCGTGGCGGTGGCGGTGGTGGTGGTGGTGGGGGAATCAGACCGATCACAACCACTTCGGGCTGTTCAGGAACTACTTCGGTCGGATTGCAACCACTGGAAACGGACTGATCGGGACCTAAAGGATTCCTATACAAACTTGTCAGGAGAACACCGGATTACAACCGATCCACGATCTCCTGCCGAGGCGTCTAACAGTTTTTTGTGTTTGAGGCTTGTGGGAGGCCTCGGGAAGGCTTTTCTGAGACCTTTGAAGGTTTCTGCTGAGGCCTGAAAGGCTTCTGCTGAGGCCTCTGGAAGGCTTCTGCTGAGGCCTCTGAAAGGCTTCTCTGAGACCTCTAAAAGGCTTCTCTGAGGCCTCTGAAAGGCTTCTCTGAGGCCTCCGAAAAAAGGCTTCCCTGAGGCCTCTGAAAGGCTTCCCTGAGGCCTCTGAAAGGCTTCTGTGAGGCTTCTGAAAGGCTTTTGCTGAGGCCTCTGAAAGGCTTCTCTGATGCTTCTGAAAGGCTCCTCTGGGGCCCCTTGAAAGGCTTCTCTGAGGCATCTGAAAGGCTTCTTTGAGGCATCTGAAAGGCTCCTTCGGCCCTTGAAAGGCTTCTCTGAGGCCTATGGAAAAAGGCTTCTCTGAGGCCTCTGGAAAACAAAGGCTTCTCTGAGGCCTCTGCGAGGCTTGTGGGAGGCCTCTGCGAGGCTGGTGGGGGGCTTCTGAGAGGCTTGTGGGAGGCTTCTGAGAGGCTTGTGGGAGGCTTCTGAGAGGCTTCTGGGAGGTTTGTGGGAGGCTTCTGAGAGGTTTCTTAAAGGCTTCAGCGAGGCTTTTGGGATGCTTATGGGAGGCTTCTGAGAGCCCTCTGAGGGGCCTATGCTCAGGCGTCTGAGGGGTTTCTGAGAGGCTTACGAGTGGCTTCTGCGAAGCTTCTGCGGGCTTCTGAGAGGCTGCTGAGAGCTTCTGAGAGGCTTCAGAGAGGTTTCGGAGAGGCTTCTGAGAGGCTTTCCTGAGGCCTTTAAAAGGCTTCTGAGAGGCTTTGAGTGGTTTGAGCGATGCTGTTTGCGAGGCCTCTAAGAGACCCTTACGAGGCTTCTTGGCGGTTTCTGAGAGGCTTCTGAGAGGTTTCTGAGCGGTTTCCGAGAGGCTTCCACGCGGTGCCAGAAGCTCTGCGGGTGCCGACGCCGCACGAACCTACCGTAGGGGAATTCGTCCAGATCTCTGGGGGTCGACGTCCTGGAAAACTCATGACGTTGGTGGTTTAGGCCGCCGCGATTGCCTGCCTTGCCATCCTGTCCTCTTCCGTTTCCCCCCTTCCTCTTCTTTCTCCTCCTCTTCCTCCTCTGTTTCCTCTTCCTCCTCTTCCTCCTCCTCCTCCTCCTGCTCCTCTGCTCTTCCTGCTCCTGTCCTTCCTCCCGCCCCTCCTCCTTTTCCCTTCCTCCTCCCCCCTCCTCCTCCGCCTCCTCTTCCTCCTGCTCCCCCTTCCCTTCCTCCTCCTCCTCCTCCTTTTCCTCCTCCTCCTCTTCCTCCTCCTCCTCCTCCTCCTCCTCCTCCTCCTCCATCTCCTCCCCCTCCTGAGATGCAATTTGTTTCACGCCAGGCGTTTTCGCTCAGTTTCGGTTTCAACCGTATGCGAATCACGTAGGAAGCGTATACGGATCATGGCCATGTTCGAGCTCCAACACATGTGTTTAGTTGAGATCATGATCGGCCGTCTGTGATCGGACCGATCGCAACCGCTCTTTCATATTCCCATTGGGCGGCTTAAAGGAACTCATTGAACCCAGAAGCGCTCTTATGTTTTTCCGTACTTAAAACCTTTTTGAAACGACCCAAACAAACCGCAACCACTTCGGACCGATCGCAATTGGTTGCGATCGGTCCGAAGTGGTTTACGATCGGTCCGAAGTGGTTGCGATCGGTCGTGCTCGCGTGGTGGTGGTGGCGTGGTGGTTTGTGGTAGTGGTGGTGGTGGTGGGCTGTGGTGTTGGTGGTGGTGGTGCTGCTGCTGGTAGTGGTGCTGGTGGTGGAGGTAGGTGGGGGGTGGTGGGTGTTGGGTGGTGGTGGTGGTGGTGCTTGTGCTTGTTGTGGTGGTGGTGTGGTGGTTTGTGGTGGTGGTGCTGGTGGGCTGTGGTGATGGTGGCGGTGGTGTCGGTTGTGGTGATGGTGATGGTAATGGTATGGTGGCTTGTGGTGTTGGTGGGTTGTCGTGGGTTATGGTGGTGATGGTGGTTGTGGCGTTTTTGGTGGTGGTGGTGGTGGCGTGGTTGTTCGTGGTGATGGTGTTGGTTGTGGTGATGGTGGGTTGTGGTGGTTTTGGTGGTGATTGTGGCGGTGGCGGCGGTGGTGGTGGTGGTGGTGGTATGGTGGTTTGTGGTGGTGGTGGTGGTGGTGGTGGTGTGGCCTGCGGCTCTTCCCGCCACTTCGTTTTGGCTTTGGGTCAGAGTTCGAATGGATGCCTCTTGAGGTCTCGTCTGAAGGGTCTCGGGGGCGTCTGGGAAGTATACGAGGGCTTGATATGGTGATTTGTGTGTTCCCTCTGCGGCCTCTGGGTCCTCTCTGGTCATCGTCGCTGCGTCCCCGCCGTCGGCGCTGCTGGCCGCCGCCAGCGCCAGCGCCGGCGCCGGCGCAAGGGGGGGTGGGGGGGTGTTGAATTCCTGGGCTCTCCCTGGTCATCGTGTCATCGTCGCTGCGTTGGCGCTGCGGCGGCCGCCAGCGCCGGCGCCGGCGCCGGGGGGGAGTGGTTCGGGAGGGGGGGGGGGGTAGGGGGGAGGTGAGTCCCCCTGGTACTGATCGATGGCGCTGAGTGTTGGGGGTCGGCCACCCCCCGGCTCGAAACCCGCCGCCGAATGTACCCAAGGCAAGCGCCCGTGAAACGCGCTTTTTCCCCAAGATCAACCCCCCAGATTGTTATTACGGATGAACTTCTGCCCCGCAATTTCTGTCGCATGGAGGTGACCTTGGCTTTTGCACAGGGCCACTTCGGGTTTCGAGATCTTGGCCAGTAGACAAATCTTGCTCATTCTGACCTAAGTCGGCTTTGTCTGGTCTAATCCAGCTCAGTAGTGTGATCATTTTCGGGCTGGATCGGGCTCAGTGGCCACATTATCGAGCGTAGCAGTCTTGAATCGTTCCCACGACGACCCCTACCGAAAGTGTGCGTGGGTGGACCTCGCGTGGCCAGCGGCCCCACGGAGCAGGGTCGTGCCTGGCGGCCTGGGCCTGGGGCAACAATAGCCAGGTGGTGCCCTGCGCGAGTCGGCTCGGGCGGGGTTCGCGCCCGGGGAAGCCGAGGTGCGATCGGGGCCCGGTCTGTCTTGGAAGGGCCCGCTGACGGCAGGGCTGACGGGGACCTCACGTTGAGCTGGCTGGCACCTCGCCCGAGCAAAACGAGGTAGGGCGAAGGGAAAACAGGCCAGGCCAATGGCCGGGAGGAACAGCTCGCCCGCGACAGGGACACGGATACCAGGGCAGCGACGCGGACCATGCGGCACTGGCGGAAAGCTGGAGCGGGGCGTCGGGGTCGTTGCGGGGGAAGGGGCTTTGTCGGAAAGGGCGTCCATGCACGGGGGCGCGGCCGCGGGAGGCTGTGAGGGGTCCAAAGGGGTTGGGTGTGTGTGTGTGTCGTGAGCAAGGCAGAGGAGACCCCTTTCATCTCTGCCTGCCCTCCATGCCTTCTGCCCCCCCGTGGTCTTTACCCTCTATCCCGTGCCCAAATCCCGATGGATCAAATTGAGTAGAGCTGCAGCCAGGAGAGCACGGGGAGGGTACCGCGGACGGCTGCGGAGGCACGCAGAGCGCTTGTCCGAGCTCAGCCAGGCGGAGCTCGTGGACCTCTGGTGCATGGTGAGGCAGGTGGAGCGGGCTGCGAAGCGGTGATGTCAAATAGATCCCGAGGAGTTTGTGAATTCGCGGCGCAGCACGATCGTAAGAGAGTTTACGACCTCTTAGCGTGAAGCAGTGGTTCTGGTGTGAGGCCTCTGTGTGGATCGAGACGTTGGGCAGGAGAAAGGCTGGGGCTGCTACGTCCCCGGGGACTTTGCTAATTGCCAGTGGATTTTGGTCTCTGCCCCTTTGCGACCTGGCCCCTCGTCTTCCTCCCTTCGACGCCGACGACGCCGAGGAGGAGGCAAAGTCGGAGGCGGGCGCGGAGGTGGGCTATGAGGAGGAAGAGGATGAGACGAATGGGGGGAGTTGGAGCCTGGCCCAAGCCAGCCGCCGGGTCGCACCGCTCGGCCGGTGCTTGCCTGGCCGAGATACCCGGGCGTAGCAAGTTTTGCTACCGCCCCTGATCCTGGCCTCAGGATATCCTCGGAGTGAAGATTCCGAAGGCCCGTCCGAAAAGTTGTCCCTTCGAACTTTCATGGTCGAGGGCGCCCCTCGGTGGCGTGTTGGCACCCTGCCATCACCTGGGGTCTCCTTCGTTGGCGTCACTTCACCCCTGTTGGTCGCCAGGGCTGCCTTCGATGCCGACCGTGCTTAGTCGATCCGCGACTCGTTCATTCTTATGTATCGGGAGGTTGTTGCGGCCGCAATGTGTGTGTGTGGGCTTACGCCCGCCAGGTCTGGTCTTTGGTCGTTTGTATTCAAAGGTGCTCTGCTAAAAGGTATTCTGTCCACCCCCGACTAGGGCCGAACAAGTATCCCGAGTTGTTCAGTACGCACACGCCCCGCGCGCACCGAACCCGCGATCCAGCCCCGCCACGCCCGGCGAAGGACGGCCCATAATCAGCTACACTTCATGGGGTCCCCCCCCGAACCTTGTGATCGAACTCGGAGCAGGGCTTGAGCATCGCAACGAATCGCCGATGCATCGGCGATGCTGCGCGGAGCACGATCTTCCCATTCCGACGTCGCTGGTGCATCGCCGATGTATCGGCGATGCAGTGCGATCCTCCAACCCCCGTTTGCTGCCGTCAAATTCGGGCGGCCTCCAGCGACGGAGAATGTTTGGTCCCAAGGCAGTTCTGGCTGGGACTCGCGGGAAGCGCTGAGTCAACGCAGAGCCAGGCGCTGCACTGGAAGACAGGGGTTGTCGCTACTGTGACTGTGGCTTTGGATGGCATTTCATTCGTTCTTGTTCGGGTCGTCGTTTGATCATTGAGTATGCGTGTTGCTCATGCGTAAGGTGTGGGTGCTTTTGATACGTTGCTTTACAGCTTGGTGTGGATGCGCTGGATGCGTTCACAGTTACATGTTTCTCTGTCCATTGCCTGGTGCTCGTGTCTGATGTTTCCTGCCTTGACTGGCTGCTGGTTGCTACCCTGTTGTGCTGCTGCGGTGCTTCACTGTAGTCGGCGTGATTATGTTTGCATTGCAAAGTGCATGTCTTGCTTGCCTGTTTCTGGTGCATCTGGTTTATCCAGCTGTTGTGTTGGCTGTTTCTTGCGATGGTCACTTGCTTGTTCTTGGCTATTTGTTGTTGTGTGTTTCGTCGTGCTGATGTTTCTGTCTTGAGTCCTCCGCCTCTCCTCCGCCGGATCATTTGTTTCGCGATGTGGCCCCCTGGGGATCTCGACCTCTTTCTGGGGATCAGTTTGTCGGTCTGAGGTGTTTTTCGATAGTCTCAGGGCCGGGAGATGGAGTCTGGAGGCCGAAGACGAAGAAAATGTTGGCCGTGGCTATGATGTTGCCTCGCCCAGATCTGAGGGTCCGCTTTGGTGTCTTTTAATGTTTCGCTAGCGTTTTCCTAGGCCAGCCCAGGCTGCCCATGCCCAGCTGGGCAGATCTGGCAGGCCCTGCTCGGGGCAGATCCTAGCCGGCGGGGCGTCTTTTTTGGGGGGGCGTATCCACGTCGACGGAGCCGATCTGCCCAAGAGCGCGCGATGAAAATCCTCCGCGGCAGGCCGCCGCAGCTGCCCAGATCTCCGAGGATCTTGTTTTCTCAATCCTGGCGGGTTGTCCTCGATTTCGACCTCCCATGCAACCCGGGTGTTACATTTGTTTCAGACCCGGAGTTTTCGCTCTGTTTTCGCCCGTTTTGTCGCGATGTTGCACTTGTTTCGCAACGTCGGGTCTCAGGGTCCGCCGAGATGGTTTTCTCAGACTTCTGTCTCTGGAGCTTGTTATCGGGCCCTGGAACCGTCAAGAAGGGATCCGGAGCGAAGAGCAGGCCCAAGGGCAGGGGTCGGTCCTCGAGGCGTACCCGAACCCTTTTCCAACGGAGGCGAATCTGTGCATGAACGCTCTATACAAAATAACACAGCGCCAGATATGCATGGTCTGCGATGCCCTCATCTGCGCCGTGCCTCCCAGGAGCCCACGAAAGTGGCGACAGTTAAGCAGTTCACAGCCTCCCAGGGAGCCGCGAGGTCTCGGCTGGCTCCGAGTGGCCCCCAGTTCCGCTGGGCCTCCCAGGAGCCCGCGAAAATCGCGACAGTTCTGTAGTTAGTTCGCAGCCGCCCAGGGAGCTGCGAGGTCTCGGGTACTTCCCTACGCCGCCGTGCCTCCCAGGAGCCCACGAAAGTTGCGCCAGCTGCACAGTTCGCAGCCTCCGAGGAAGCGGCGGGGTCTCGGGTACTCCCCTACTCCGCCGTGCCTCCCAGGAGCCCGCGAAAGTGGCGACAGCTTTGCAGTTCGCAGTTTCTCATGGGGCTGCGAGGTCTCGGGTACGCCCCGACTCCGCCGCGCATCCCAGGAGCCCACGAGAGTTGCGACTGTTGCGCAGTGCGCAGTTTCTCATGGAGCTGCGAGGTCTTGGGTACTCCCCTACTCCGCCGAGCCTCGCAGCCCACGAAAGTGGTGACAGCGGCGCAGTTCGCAGCCACCCATGGAGCATCGCAGGAGGAGGGGGGAGGAGGGGGGAGGAGGAGGGGGGTTGGAGGAGAAGGTGCGCGACCGCAGTGCTCTATTCAACATGAGAACCCAACACAGGAGGGTTGGGAAAAACACATCGTCGGATGTCTGGCGCCCCTCGCCGGGTTAACTGATGGTTCGGAGGTTGATAGAGCCTCCACCCTGTCAGGTCGATTGGCGAATCGCCGGTTTTCGGTTCTCGAGAGGGCGGTCTGGGTCCGGGCCCAAAGCGTTTCCCTCGTTGCGGCCTCTTGACCCTATCCCGGCTCCCCCAGTTTCCCTGAAAGCCGCGGTTCATGAGGGAAATTTGTCTTTGGAGGCCTCCTGGGATCCGAGAAGATGGGGTCGGAAGATCGCGCCGCATCGCCGATTCGTCGCCGATGCATCGGTGACGTCGGCGATGTATCGGCGCCGTCGGCTTGGAAGAATCGGGCTCCGCATCGAGCCGCATCGCCCGTGCACTGCCGATGCTTTGTGATTCCTACCCCATCTGTACCTGGACCCCTTCTGGGAGGCCTGGGGTCCCGGATCTGGGGGTTTCCCCGGGGCCAGTTATTCATCCAGGGTCCTTTCTGACGGCACCTTGGGGCCCGTGGAGGGCCGCTTCTTCGATCAGGTTAAGACAATCAAGCGGGACGACCGAAGCACGTCGATGCAGCTTTGTCATTATCCGGCTGACGCTTCTTCCATTGCGGGACTTTTCTGAGCCAGCATGCAAAGCAGACTGGAAGTATTGCCCCAACGTGTGCGCGAGAATTCCCGACGGACGAAAACTAGACGCCGGCCCTCCCCACCCCAACCTCGGTTTGCACAGCCCAGGAGCGCTCGCCGTACCTGGTTCGGCCTGCTGCAAAGCTCTGACATCGGGACCAAACACTATCGTCGGAGCTCACGACTGGAGCCCTAGACCTTCATATTTCTGCGGCCTGTGTCGAGCCAGATCGACTGAGGGCCCCCTGAGGCCCGAAGCCATGCGAAGACTCTTGGTGCGAAAATCCTGCCCTGCAAAGCCCGGATCTTAGGGGCGCCGTTGCGCACAGAAGTAGGGGGACGAAGGGGAGGAGGGCTGGGATGGTTGAGGAGGGTGGAGATAGAGTTGGAGGAGGAGTAGGAAGAGGAGGAGGAGGAGGAGGAGGAGGAGGAGGAGGAGGAGGAGGAGGAGGAGGGGGAAGGGGAGGGGGAAGGGGAGGAGGGTGGAGGAGGAGGGTGGAGGAGGGTGGAGGAAGAGGGTGTAGGAGGGAGAGGGAGGGAGGAGGAGGAGGGAGGAGGAGGAGGAGGAGGAGGAAGAGGAGGAGGAGGAGGACCAGAGTAAGCCCACGATGCATCGATTTCTGCTGCCACACATCCTCCCTTCCCAAGTCCTCTCCCCAGAAGTTCATACAAACTTTCCTCTCCATTGCGGACGCCTCCCTTTGAATGAGGAGCGGCTGGTCGGTCCGCCAGTCAGACGAGGGCGCTTGTTGTACGGGATCATCCCTCCATTTGAAAGACGCTCAGGTCAGCCCCATTTTGAGAAGCACGTGCCCTCCATTCGTTTGACCGGTGCAGGATGTCAAAGTCGTGGACTTTTGCTCTGCGGAAGTCCCACGCGAGAGCCTTTCAAGGAGGCCCAGGGACAGCCTCATCTTGAAAAGAGCATGCCATCCATCCGTCTGAGCGTCACAAGATGTCAAAGTCGTGGACGTATGCTTCGCGGAAGTCTCGCGCGGCAGTCCCGTTTCGAAAGAGCGGCCGCTCTCCATTCGTGTTCGTTGTTGCACAATATGGAACGCTTGGTCGCAGGTCGAGGAGGGGTCAAGTGAGTGTAGGTGGTGGTCTTTGTATTTGGATGTGCGTGAGACCAAGAAGAGATCGCAATACGGTGAAGCGTTCGTTAAGGAATGTGCCTGGGAGGCTGCATACCCTGGAGGGTTCCTGATCTGACATCTGACGAATGCTGCGGTGATATCAATGGCCGATCCACGATTGAAGTTCCACAGACTTCCAGGCCCTGGAGTCCTTATCTAGGGGATCCCTGTCAAATGTACCCCCCGTCTTGAAAAGGTCTCGCCATCCACTCGCGCAGCTGAGGAACATTTGGAAGCCGAGTATGCACGTCGCAAGGGAAAGGGCGCCATCTTGAACACGACCCGCCCTTTATCGTTTTCTTGATTGTGTAAAACGATGGTGTGCAGCGCCAGCAAAGCGAGGGCTTCAATGTGAAAACCGCTTGTGGTCCACGCGTCAACGCGATCCAACTTCATCTGCTCCTTGAGGCCTCCTGCGGCGACGAGGACGATGACGATGAGGATGTGGACGCTGTTGCTGCTGCTGCTGCTGCTGCTGGTGTCAACGGCGTGCCTGGGAACGCTTGGGGGGGATTGTAGCGCTTGGGGGCGCCATGGGGCGTCGTGGAGCGTCTGGGAGCGCCCAGGCCAGCCTTGGGAACGCTTGCGTCCAAAGTCTGACTTGGCCACGGCGTAACCGAAACGCATCGGTGCACTATGTATGTGCTATCACTGTACGTTTTTGTTGTTGGTATTTTGTGCACAGGGGCTCTTCGTGACCAGGGGGTGGATGGATGTTGAAGACCAGCGGATGCGCACCGAATTCAGCTTTCACATTGGATGGTGAGCGTTGGGTCGGATGGGCGTACGCCGGTTTGCATTTGTTGCGTAGGATTGAGAGGGTTGGGTCGACTGGATGAGCGCCAAAGAGCAGGTTTTTTGTAGGACGGTCAGGGTTAGGCCGGGCAGATGTGCACCCGCGTTTATATTTTGTGTAAGTGATAAGGGTTGGGTCGTATGGATGTGCGCCTGATAGTAGTTGTTTGCATCGGATGGTGAGGGTTGGGTCGTGTGGATGTGAGCATATTTGTATTTTTTGCATCGAATGGTGAGGGTTGGATCGGATGGATGTGCACCGGCTCGATTACTGTTGCATCGTATGATGGGGGTTGAATTGTCTGGATCTGCGCGGCGCGAGGGCGAACACCACAATTTGAAAAAGAAACCAGCCTCCTTCTCTGAACATGTTTCATGTGTTACACGAATGTGCGCGGCGCGCTGAAATCACAACCGCGTGTTGAAAACGACCCGGAATCCATGCTTGAAGCGTTTGCCAGTTTTGGGACGTGTGTCCGCGGCGCTAAATCGACAGCCACATTTTGAAAACGATCCCGCCCCCATCCTGGAAACTTGCTGCAAAAGTCAAGCTTCAGCACCAGAATGGGCGAGGAAAACCAAACGGCACGCACGGCCCAGCCTACGGACACGTGTGGTGATGCGACAGGGGGAGTCGTTTAGAATGAAAACAAATGGAGCAGGAGGAGGCGTAGGGAGAAGAGGAGGAGAAGGAGGAGCAAGAGGAGGAGGGAGGAGGAGGAGGAGGAGGAAGAGGAGGAGGAGGCGGATGAGGACGAGGAGGAAGAGAGGAAGGGGAGCAGAACGGGACGCCCAGAGGTGCAGGCCGCCGTGCGGCGGCGCATGGGCGCCACCGCCTTCAACATTGCGGTCCTTGACGGCCAGTCCGCGGGGCAGCCGGTGCCGCACGTCCGGCTCCCGTCGGGAGGGCCCCCCCCCCTTGGCGGGCGCGCCGGGAGACCCTGCGCCTCGGCGTGCGCCAGGCCCCCCTGCCAGGCGCCGGCGGAGCCTTCTCTTCTCCTCCTCATCCTTCCTCCCGTCCTCCCCCCCGTCCTCCTACTCGTCCTCCTACTCCTGCTGCTTCTCCTCCTCCTCCTCCTCCTCCTCCTCCTCCTCCTCCTCCTCCTCCTCCTCCTCCTCTCCTCCCCTCCTCCTCCTCCTCCTCGTCTCCCTCCTCCTCCCCGTTTCCATTATCCTCTAAGTCCCCCTCCTCCCCGTCCCCCTTCTCGTCCCCCTTTCCGCCCCCCTCCTCGTCGCCCTTCCAGTCCCCCTTCTCCTGTTCGCAGCGGCGCTCCCAAGATCTGGGCGCTGTATCTTTCACACCCGGCGTTCTCGTCCGGCCTCGGGCCCCAGGGGCCCTTACAGATCGACCCGATTCAAGACATGCCGCAGAAAGATGGACTCGGCGGCTCCGACGCCGCTCGCGAGAGGTCGTCGACACGATGGGTTCCCCAGCAGGCTTCTCAGAAGCCTCCCAAGAGGCCAGGGGGGCCTCTGAGAATCAAAGAAAAAAAAACATCAACATAAATGTTTGACGCTGCGCGCGGATTTCTCGGATCCACGCTGGGCCACACCGGCGGCGCCTCCGCCGCCGCCCCCGCGCGCCATTGAGGCACTTTCGTTCGCGACGTCAGGTCTCAGGGACAGACGTTTCTTGTTCGTCATGATGGGGCCCGTCGCGATCTAGCGCAGTCGGCCAGCCAGCGCATACGGCTGCAGGGCCAGGGCCCCGCAGCCCATCCCACCACCGGGCACCCCCCAATGCTTCGCCCTTTGATTCCATCTTCGATCTGCTGTCGAGATCCAGGGCGCCCCGCGCAGCACGTTCTTCCTTGCTATACCCAGACATCTGGCGATGTGAGTTTTTGTTATGCGCGGCCCCAGAGCTCCCAATATCTTCCCTGGGGGCATTTCCTGGCTCTCATCGCATGTCGGGGCCCCCCTTTCAATCGTCGCTTGCTCTCCGTGCCGTGTGGGCCTTCCTCTGATGTCTCTGGCCACGGCAGCGCGATCGGGGCGCGATCTGCTCCGGCTGCGCCCAGCGCCAGAACACGGCAAAGGAGAAGGCGGTGTCACGGTTTCACAAGCGGGGCTTTCCCGAATCGGACACGAAGTATTCGGCACCCGTCGAAGACGAGTGGTCCTCATTTCTGGCCTCCGCGCCAGTGGCCGGACCCAAATTTCCGCTGATATGAGTTGTTCAGTCCTGGCGGGTTTTCCTCGATTTCGGCGTCTTGGGCCCGTTTTCGAGCCCTGGGGCAATGAATATGTTGCTGGGACGAAGAATACCCTTGGGAAAGGGGTCGGGACCTCTGGGGCCACGCATCGAAACAAAGCATCGTCGGATGTCTTGGTCCGTGGGCATCGACCCCCTCCCATGTCGTCCAAAGATCCGAACCCCATTCTCCAGGATGTGCCCCCCGTTTTGTTCCCCACTCGAGGACTTGCCACTTGCCCCTGGTTCATGCTAGCCGGCTGAATTGAACATGATTCAAATTAATTTGGTGTTAGCTGTCTGCCAGTCTAATTTCAGCTCGCATTCTGCTTGCCTGTAATTCGCTTGCTTGTGCAGCCTGCCTATGATATATATAATGTGTATATATATAGAATATATGTATATACACATATTATTCTACATGTGCATTTATATATATATATATGTATATATACATATATACACATATATATATATATATATTACACATTCTGGAGGGGTGGGACCCCCCCAAAACGGGCCCCCTGGATCCAAGGCCCCGGGAGCCCACTGGATGCCCCTGCAGAGGCTTCCTCGGGCTTTCCGGGGCTCCTGGAAACCCTTGCTGGGGCTAGGCAGTGGGCCCAAATCGGTCAGGAGGGCGGCCGAACGGCTCAGCGAGAGCCCCAAGAGACCCCAGACACTCACCAGACGCCCAAAGACGAACCAAAGAAGAACCCCAAGAGAACTTTCGAAACACAGATATTGATCTTTCTTTAAGCCCCCCGGGGGGAACGCGTGTTACTTCCCTCTCAGGCCCCGCTCTAAGGATAACGCTTGCAAGCCGGGAACAAGCGTGAATCTTTGAAATTTCCAATTCCAAAGAACACTGTAAGGAGTACACAGGCGATCTGGCGCACGCAGGCATCGACGTGCACGCAGGGCCAGTGCACTGCGGTGTGCACGGGCTCTGTGGTGCACGCAGGCACTGTGGCGTACGCGTACGCTGCGGTGCACATGGCTACTGTAGTGTGCACAGGCGCTGCGGTGTTCACAGACGTTGTGATGCACGGAAACAATGTGGTGTACACATGCGCTGTGGTGCACGCGGCTGTTGTGGTGTACATAGGTGTTGTGGTGTCAGAGAAGAAGGGGCAGGACAATGAGGAGGAGGCGGAGGGGCAGTAGGAGGTGAGAAGGGGGAGGGAGCCAGGTAACAGCACTTTCACAGGATGGTGGCCCCACTGGAGGGGGGAGCCTGCGGGCTCTCGTCGTCGTCCGTCCTTGCCTTTGGCCGCAGACAGTTCGCTGGCGCAGAGGCGACCCCCGCGCTGGCGTTCAAGTTTGCGACGCGCCGGGGGGCGCGGCTGGGGCTCCAGGATTCTCAGAAATGAAACCGCGGTGCAAAATCATGCCTCAGCTTTGGGCCGAGAGCTACCAGTTGCGCAGATCGCTCAAGATTGAACGATCCACCCCGTGTTAGAAAAACCAATATCCAAGGCGTCACGACACGGACCCACCGTACAGTCGACGCCCCATGTCCTCCTACTTTCCCAGACTTCCCGCCTCCTTTTACGCCTTCCCCCACCTGCTCCCAACTCCCCTCCGCCTCTTCCCACCTCTGTCCACGTCCTCCCGAGCTGGCGAATTCGTCCTACTGGCGCCCGTGGGGTCCAGGGCCCGTTCCCTTCGGGACCTGAGCATTTCATGCTGAAGCGTTCCTCGCGGCCCTGGATCGCGCCCCTGGTTCGTAGCAGGTTCGTAGCAGGCCTCTGCGCATTGGGTCTCACGAGCGCAACGTGGTGCTCGCAAGCCATTAATGTGCCCGCTGGCACGTGTTGCGTTGCGGTGTACAAACAGGCGTTGTGGTGCACGGGTGCTTTGTGGTGTGCTCAGGCGCTGTGCGGTACACATGGTTGCCGTGGTGTACACAGGCGCTGTGGTGTACACAAACATTCCGGTGCTCGCAGGCTCCGTGGTGTACACAGGCGCTGTCGCGGACGCGGCTGCTGCAGTGTACACGCGGCTGCTGTGGTGTACGGCACTGAGGTGTTCGCAAGCGGGGCGCTGTGTTGCACGTAGGCATTGGGCATTGCTGTGTACAGAGGGACAGGCACGCAGGCGTTGGCCAATATCGTGAACACAGGGACTGTGGTGAACACAGGCGATTGATGTGCTGGCGGCTCGGACTCACCCTGGCGGGTGCACGCCGCGGCCGCCGTCACCGCTACCCCCGCCGCCCGCGCCCCCCCTGGGGAACACGCGTTGCCCCCAATGGATAACACAACCACCTTAAAAACAGTGATTTCCTAATGGTTCTTGTACGACTTGGGGAATGCTCTGTTCTTCGGTCTTTCGGGCGTCCGAGACCGCCCAGGAGGCCAGCAGCTCTTTCGTAAACTACCCAGAAGGGTTTCCATGCAGCGCAACCAGGACTCAATACAGCCCAAAGGGGCCCCAAGATAACCCTCATGACGGCCCAAGATGGCCCCAACCGCCCCCCGAAGCATTCCAAATCCTGACCCAGTCGTTCAAGGAGACCGCTGTTGGAAGCAGGGTGGCCCGAGGAAGCCCCCAGAGGCCCCCAGAAGAAATATTTCTGCAAGCTTCGCTTTTCAGTTCTACAGCGGTGACGACGGCCCAAAAGGTTACCCAAATGCGCCCCAGACGGCCCCAGAGGCCCGAAAGAGGGTTCCAAGATGGGCTGAAGAAAGCGTCAAGCGGCACAGAAGAGCTACACGAGGCCCAAGAGAGCCCCCAGGAAACCCGAGGGGGCCACCAGAGGATTCCTACATGGTCGGAGAGGGCCCCAGGAGGGCCCCAAGACGGGCTGAGCTCCCCACGACGAGCCACGAGGGACCCGGAACGGCCGAAATGGGCCTTCAGACGGGCCAAAAAATGCCCCAAAGTACTCCGAAGGAATCCCCAGAGAGACTCCAGAGACTGCCACAATGCTTCGAAAACGGCTCCCGGCACGCGTTCCAGTAGTGGGTGCGTTGAGAGGAGAGGAGGAGGAGGAGGAGGAGGAGGAGGAGGAGGAGGAGGAGGAGGAGGAGGAGGAGGAGGAGGAGGAGGAGGAGGAGGAGGAGGAGGAGGAGAGGAGGAGGAGGGGAGGAGGAGGAGGAGGAGGAGGGAGGAGGAGGAGGGAGGAGGAGGAGGAGGAGGAGGAGGAGGAGGAGGAGAGGAGGAGGAGGAGGAGGAGGAGGAGGAGGAGGAGGAGGAGGAGGAGGAGGAGGAGGAGGAGGAGGAGGAGGAGGAGGAGGAGGAGGAGGAGGAGGAGGAGAGGAGGAGGAGGAGGAGGAGGAGGAGGGAGGAGGAGGAGGAGGAGGAGGGAGGAGGAGGAGGAGGAGGAGGAGGAGGAGAGGAGGAGGAGGAGGAGGAGGAGGAGGAGGAGGAGGAGGAGGAGGACAAGGAGGAGGAGGAGGAGGAGGAGGAGGAGGAGGAAGAGGAGGAGGAGGAGGAGGAGGAGGAGGGAGGAGGAGGAGGAGGAGGAGGAGGAGGAGGAGGAGGAGGAGGAGGATTTTGACATCGACAAAGCAGCCACATACACTTTGCCTGGTGGCGAGCCAGGCAAGGGACGCTCCTTGGCGTAAAACCTCCACAGATTCACCAGCGATGTCCTGGCGCCTGGAAGGCTTTCTGAAAGAGAAAACCAAACAGGGGGGGGCCGAAAGCCGAGGGGCGATTTCCAACAGACAGGAGGATCCCCGTCGGC